AAAAAAATAAGGAGATATTCTTGCCCCATGAGATTGGATTTATAATCGGCTTATCAGAAAATGTTGTGTTTATAAAATAACTAATATTAATTAGTTAGATGGGACCGTCTACCGTCAGGTACCCCTCGTACCTACCTAACATCAGGTACCCTCTTATATCACCATTAGATCGACTCAAAAATCAATATCAACCATTAGATTCAAGGTACGAGGTTGGTACGAGGCAACCAAAATTCTTTTTGCCTCGTACCAACCTCGTACCACCTTGTACTTGTAAAAAACCTTTAATACCCTTATATCATTAAAAATTAAAATAAATTATAAAATAATAATTATATTTATTTTAAAGACCTTACATTTATCTAATTTGTATGACAATCCTTTAAATACAAAAACATATCATCTAAACCTTAATTTACGAATTAAAAATCAACATCAACGTCTTCGTCTTCGTCTTTCATCTTCAGCCATCCTCACTGCTGTCTATCCTTACGGATCTTAAGTGGTTCTCAGAATTGGGCTTTCCCGTACTCCTTTTCACCTTTTATCCTCTGCCCTCAAATTCGTCTTCATTACCTCTTCCCTTCTTTCTTCTTTTTCTTCCAACGATTTACCCCAATTCTCCACCTCCTTATTTCGATACACGGCGGCTGAAGGATGGCTGACCGAATCTCCGTACGGATGACTCTTGCAGCTCAGATCTATGGTGGCCCATCGATAGAGAGCAACAAGCAGCTCCGGGAATCAGGGCGGCGGCGCTACGGGCGTCGTCCAGATCTCGCAGTTGGCCGCAACTAGCGGGTCGAGGCAGGCGCTGGCTGGTAGGCTCGCTGACTGTGTTAATTTGGTTCTATCTAATTTTCGTTAAATTGAACCAATCAAAACCACGAGCCATACACAGAAGCGACCAATGAACAGATGATTTCTCATTGTCGGCGACCAAATACAACCCGCTGATCTAGTTTTCCACTTGATGGGTGATAGCAGATTAAAATTCGGCTGTTGCCATCAATTAATTTGCAGTTAATATAGCACCTATTTCATTTGTTTGACCATTTTCGAGTATGTAAATAAGAAGCGAAAAGAGAAGATGAAGAAGAAGCAAATCCCAATAAGATCGACCCCCAGAAAAGATGAAGATCGACTGATCGAATTCATCTCAAAATCGGTTTTCTTCGAATCCTGATTGATATAAATTATCAAATAAAGAACAATTTAAAGGTGACTGGGATAATTTTGTCAGCAGAAGAAGAAAATATGAAGTTTGATTGATCGAATTCACTACAAATGCAATTTAGTGAGAAGTTGTGATTTAATTGAAATATTTAAAGGTGTTTAGGTAAAATAATAATATAAGAATAATTAAATACCTATTATATAAATATTAGTAGTTAAATAATATATTTTATAATTTGTTTTAAGTAAGGGTAGTTTAGTATTTACACAATGTTTATTTTTATTTTTTATTTAATTCATTAAAAAATAGGACACATGGCATCAATTTAAAGGGTACCTGATGTTAAATAGGTACGAAGTTGGTACGAGGCGAATCTGACGGTAGAATGTCCCTTCTATTAATTGAATCCTTTTTTATATACTCCAAAAAGACAAATAAAATAATATCTTATAAATATTTTGAAAACTTGTTACCATCTCTAACCTCTACCCACCGCCTGCCCCTCTTTCAACCACAACATTTTCAGACATGAATTTTTTATTTTTCACTCAAAACTTGGATTTCCTACTCAATTTGTTCTCAAAAATCGAACAACTTTAAAAGTTATAAAACTGATATTAATTAATTAGATATTAAACAATAATATCTTGGTCACGCAAGTCAAAGTCTAACATGCTAGCAATTTTGGTGTTTAAACAATTCCTTGGTCGAATAATTGGCTGTGCGTTATTATTGCAGTATTTGATTATTTACTAAAACGCGCTTTATTGGCATGTAGAGATTTATTAATTTGTTGAATAAGCCACGAGTTATTCAAGCTTTGTTTTGGGATATATTTAAATGTAATGATAAACAAGTGAAAATGTTTATGTTCTTCTACTGACATGCTCTATCATGTTTGTATATATACCTGTAGACAATTATCTAAATTTTAACATGTGACAATCATAATAAAATGTGCCCATACTCAAACAAGCCCTTTCAAATATGGAAAATCTATGTTTTAACATTTCATTACATAATTATCTCATAAATGTATTATAAAATGTAGCATAACATTACAATTAATATAATGTAAAGTATAATATAAATATAGTTTAAATAATTTTATTATTAAATTTTTAATGTATTATTATCAACATTTCTAACACTATAAGAAAATATATTTATTTAATATTTCATAACTTATATTATTATTAAATGTATAATATAAATACTTATAATAAAGAGAATATTGATATTTTATATTGTATATGTATATATATATATATATTCACTTTATACGAATTTTAATTATAATTATAATAAATAATTTATTTATTAAATATACATTTAATTAAAAAATAAAAATAAGTAAACTAAATAAATAAATAATATTATATTATTTAATTACCTTGTTTAATCAAACTTTTATTATCATTAGTGTTGTTTCATATACTAATTCAACTTATTAAATTTTAATTAATTTTTTTATATAATAAATAAATATTTAATAATAAGTAAATATATTAAATAATTAAATATACATTATATAAATAATTATATTAAATAATACAATATTATTTATTTATTTAATTAACAAATAATAAAGTAAATACTAAATATTGTAAATAATAA